GCAAGAACCAGGATAACCGGGACCAACATTAGGTGATGAGCTTTTTAGAAAATAATAGACTGAAAACAGGTATTTCTCCAATCAAAGTTCTTTGAAATGGAATAAAATAACTTACAGTTTCCCCATCGGTAACAGTGACAGAACCACTAGCTTGTCTTCCTATATGACCTGTCTCAACCAAAATCTGCAATATGCATAACAGGACCAAGTTACAGAATTAAGAGAAGCACATTTCTGAGAAAATACAGCATAGATAAAAATGGTCTTACAATCTATAGAGGTCTAAAATTTTATTGCATTTTAATATACGGTTTCCAAGAACTCATGGTTATAACAAATAATCCGCGACAGAAAACCTCAATTAACATGTGCCCACCAAAAAAGGAACTTCCACTCAGATGTTTGTGACCATTTCATAAAACTTACAATTATGTGAAAAAAAAAAAAGATAAATCCTTGCAGAAGGAAATTAATCAAAAAAAGATGAAGCAGAAGTCCAGTAGAACTCAAAATTAAAAGCAAGAACCCGGCTGTTGCTAAGTCATTGCACAATAAGAACAACATCTTTGAAGCTCAAACACAGAAACACAACCAAAACCTCGGAGAAAAAATAAAAAATTGTCCTTTAGTACAATAGAACATGAAGACAATTCATCCAAAACCCGGAAAATGTTAAAGATGAACACAAACTACATAAAAATTCACCAGAAACTGCAAAATATAACTACACCAGAAACCAAATCGATCAAAAAGCAAAAAAACTAGAACACGAATTCCACCAGAAACCAATACCCGAATCAAGAACCCCGACTTACGTGTCTATCACCGACCGGAATATTCACGGAAAATGGTTGCGGGATGTACTGCGTTCCATCAACACCATTGGCCGTAACCTCTGCCTCCTTCGATTCCGTCAAAGCTCTAACTCGAAGTCTCCTAGTCCTTCTTGGCAGAAGTAAGTTAACGTTGCAAAGTTGTGGTTGTCCTGACCAACGGAAAGCAGGGCAGAAGGAAGAGAGGACAGTTCTGCCTCGAAGGGAATAGAGAAAAGGAGATTGAGAAGATGGTCTACCATAAACGCTAGGGATTGCAATCATTTTTCTTCTCTGCTTCGCTGATGCGGAGATTGCTACAGGGAGAACTGTAAGCCAATCTCTGCAACTTTATCCGTTTTCTCCCTCCTAACGAGTGACGACAGTGGGACTGCAAAGCTTTGTACCAGTGAGCCCGCCCCTAGCAATTCGACGTACGGAATAGTGCTGTAGCAATTCGGGTGGTTCCAACCCGAGCTCTTTCATGGATTGGGCTGAACTTTTTAGGTTGGCTGGGCTTGGGCCAGAGCCCGACCTACACTTGGGTTGTAATTAGCTTCAGGCCTAGCCGGAGCCATATCCAATTCAATTCGAAACTGTCCGAATATGAGACATTAAGGCTATGTTTGGTTTGAAGGAAAATATAGGAAAAAGAAGATAAAGATAAGGAAATTAATACAAGGTTTGTAAAGGTTTTCTTACCATTCCATGCATTTTCCTTTAAATCAAACATAGTCTAAGGTTAAGTTTGGTTTGTAGGAAAAAGTATGAAAAAGAAAGGAAATGAAGGGAAACCTTTAGGGTATGTTTGGTTTGAAGGAAAAGATGGGGAAAGGAAGGGAAAGGTGTGTAGGTTTCTCCACCTTTCCCTTCCTTTCCCTACCTTTTCCTTCAAACCAAACATAACCTTACAAATCTTGTATAGGTTTCCTTGCATTTTCCTTCCTTTCCCTACTCTTTCCTTCAAACCAAACATAGCGTTAGGTGGGATGGACTGGGTTTATGATCAATCTAGGCCTAACGCCTCAGCTTGACCCAATCCCCAACTGTCCAAACCAAACAAAGTTCATGCTAAAATTTGATACACTTGGGGTTGGGCACTTGCCTCAAGTTGGTCGATCAATTCATACACAATTTTGATACAAGCTTATTTGTATATCTATGAATATGAATATATGCATATATATATGGTTTACCAAAAAAGTAGGCATATATACATGTAGCATCCAACTGTCCAAACCAAACAAAGTTCATGCTAAAATGTGATACACTTCGGGTTGGGCACTTGCCTCAAGTTGGTCAATCAATTCATACACAATTTTGATACAAGCTTATGTGTATATCTATGAATATAAGCATATATATATGATTTACAAAAAATGTATGCATATATACATGTAGCATCCAATTATGTGTTTATATATGCATATACGTATATAGCCCGAGCTTAAGTTGGAATAGTGCCAAGTTGGGTTTGGGCTACTTAAGGGTTAAGCCCGAGCTCAACCCAAAAACTAGAAAAGCCTAAGCCTTGGGCCTAGGCATAGTTCAAGGACCGGAAATCCAATCCTATCTTGTGTAAAATTTTGGGTTAGATTAATCCAGGCTCAAGTTGAACACACCAAAATTGCAAACCTAGGAGACATATACGAATGCAAATGGATCAGATTAGATTCAAACTGGGGTATATTCAAATTTGAAATTGATAGAAAAAATCACATGGTTCGAATTTGAATCCATCAGATTCTATATTCCCTTATTCGAATTTGACTCAGATCATTTCATCAGATAATTGATGCAGATCTGATTTGGTTCAATTGAATATTTTCAAATCGAATATCCGATGATCCATTCGATCCAATCTGATACAAATTTATCATGTGTCCTATGAATTATCAATAATTTACCTTGTGAATTATCATCAATTTAACATATACTTCTAGCACAAGTTTAACCCATGAATTATCACCAATTTAACATATACTTGTAGCACAAATTTAACATGTAAATTTTCATCCAATACCCATTTATTCAACCTTAATCAATTTCATAAATGATTACCAAATTACCATGAGCACTTAATACCCATTTATCCAACCTATAATCACCATGGGCATTACACATTTAATTGATTATCCAAATCAAACATAAACTATTAAGTTCATCAAGTGTTTAAGTTAAACCACATAATCGTCTAATATCTAAAACTAATTAAATAACAGTTATTACAAACCAACATAACAACATTATCAAGTTCAAAGTCAATTGTTCAAAAGTTTCAACTAATCAACACCAAACTTCAAGAGTTCAAGTCCTTAAGATTAAGAACTACAAGAAATTTTTTCCATCCACCTAGTTAAACTTCAAATCAGCAATGAGGTCGCACAATGGCCTGGTCGATCCTTCAAATCAAATCCTCGGCTAGGTCGTACAATGGCCTGGCCGAGCATTCCCCCTTCTCGGTAGCAGAAGTGGGGGAGTGGTTCGGGAACCGAAATTTTGGTTCTTATTTAAGTTCTGCAGCCGACGATCAGAGGACTCCTCGGCCACAACCAACACGGCACGAACGATACGCATACTCGGAAGTTCCTCAGCCAGGTAATGAACCTAGGTCACAACTAAGCTGGCCCTACAAGATATGTGGCCGCCCAACTGTCAGCTTGCCACGTCATCCTAGCCCGGCCGAGCAACACTAGTGTGGTGGCCCCCCAACACTTCCTTTCAGCCACATCAACTACACGTCACGCGGATGAGCAAAACCACGGATGAAGAGGAGCAGGGGAGACGACTCCGTCGGGGAATGGGACTCTATCCTGAATACCTCGGTGGCTAACCTCATCACGACAACCCCGAAAGCCCAATCCGACTAGGACACGGATCTTTGGCTATAAAAAAGGTACTCCATGCTAGAGGTAAGGGATCGGACTTCTAAGACCGACATAGCCACTTAGCTCGGACCAGCATCCTTATAGCTTGGCCCGACCATCCCACCATCTCCTACTGAATTGAGCGTCAGAGTTCTTACCCGGGGATAACTTCTCAGGCCTCTGACCTATTTCCTTGATCATAGATCTTGCAGTGTGACCCCATCCTTGTAGCTCGGCCCCGCCTTGCCAATGAGGACTATCTGATCGCCTTCCTCGGTTCACGCACTACCTCGGATCGAGCAGTATCACATTGGCGACGTCCGTTGGAGCGTACGTCCGCTCCTAAGAGCGCAATACCCGCCATGAATCAACCTATGCAGGCCACCGCGCATATCACCAAGGAGCCACCCTTCGTCTTGGACATCGTGGATGAGGTACTCCCTGTCGGATGGCGAGCCCCCCAACTCTACAAGTACGATGGAAATTCCAATCCTTTCGACCACATCGCGGCGCTCCAAGCCCAGATGATACTACATGGTGCRTCGGAGAGACTGATGTGCAAAGCCCTTGTAACCACATTGCAAGGCCGACCTTGGCATGGTACTCCTCCCTGCCGCCGAGATCTATAGCGTCTTGGGCACAGCTGGAGACCTAGTTCCTAGTGCACTTCATAGCAAGTCAGAAGCACTGGAAAACCTCGGCCAACCTCATGCAAATCCGACAAAGGAAGGCAGAGTCTCTTAGGGACTACCTGGCGAGATTTAACAGAGAAGCACTTCAAGTCAGGGACTTAAATCAATCAGTCGCGGTGACGGCCATACAACACAAACTTCGTCGTTCCCCGTTCAACTTCTCCATCTCCAAGAACCCTCCTCAAACATTGACCACGCTAATGAGCCACACACAGAAATATATCAACGCCGAAGAGGCCCAGGCACAACTCAGAGACGAGGATGAGAAACCCGACAGAAAAAGGTGAGAGAATGATGAACGAAAGTTAGAGAGAGCAGATAGTGATCCCAAGAGGCAAGATCGTCGGGCCGACCATAGGCCTCGTACCCCTCCGCCGACCTATAGGAATTTCACGTCACAATGTTTCGCGGTATGAAGTCCTGATGCAAATCCATGACCGCAACTATGTTAGGTGGCCCGAGAAGATGAAGACACAAAGCAACAAGAGGAACAAAGACAAGTATTGCGAGTTCCACAAAGACCACGACTACGATACAGAGAACTGCTTCAACCTACGCAACTATATCAAAGATCTGATCAGGCGCGGTTATCTCAGCAACTTTGTAGACAGAGCGGAGAAGTCAGCCCAAGAGGAAATAAAAGCAGAAGAAGCTCAGTAGCCTTCGCCACATGGCCCCCCAACCGATGTTATCCATGTGATATCAGGTGGAAGCGCCACCGGTGAGGAAAGAAGCTCGGGACGGAAGAGATATGCTCGGAAGTGCGAGATCAATGACTGAGGTCGCGAGAGGAGGCAAGACACGTCTATTACCTTCACTGACGATGATCTCCGAAGAGTCCAGACACCACACGATAACGCCTTGGTCATCACCGCCGAAGTGGCTAATTTCGAGCTACGGCGGATCCTAATTGACACAGGGAGCTCCGTTGACGTGTTGTTCGAAGATGCGTTCGAAAAGGTCGGCATCGCCAGAGATCGAATCGCACTAGTTAGCACTCCTTTTATGGGATTTCCCAGACAGTCCCTCCAGCCAATGGGGAGGATAACTCTTCCCCTCTTGATCGGGGATGGCAACATAACTGTGACAGCCAAGGTAGATTTCATCGAGGTACGCTGCCACTCCTCTTACAACGTAATCCTCGGCAGCACGACCCTCAATGCCCTACAGGCATTAGTCTCAACGTGCCACCATGCCATGAAGTTTTTTACCAAGTATGGCGTAGGGGTGGCACACGGGGATCAGAAAACAATGTGACATTGCTACTAGTTATCCTGCTGAGGACCATGTCCAATGACCGAGACAATGAAGGCGGAAGCATATGACTTGCGCGATGAGGTAAAGGCACAGCGCGACCAACCTGTGGAAGATCTCATATAGGTCCCCTTGGTTGAGGAAGACCCCAAAAAGACGGTCCAAGTTTGTTCCCTACTAGGTGACCGTCTCCAAGAGGAACTTGTTCGATTACWAAGGAACAATGCCATGTTCGCTTGGTCAGTGGACGACAAGCCTGGAATCGATCCCGAAGTTATCACACACCGGTTGAATGTCGACCCTCGTTACCGACTTGTGAAGCAGAAGAAAAGAAACTTCGCCCTAGAGGGGTGGCAAGTGACCGCACAGGAAGTACAGAAGTTGCTCGACGCCGGCTTCATTAGGGAAGTCAAATACACTGATTGGCTGGCCAACATGGTGATGGTGAAGAAGGCCAACGGAAAGTGGAAGATCTGCATCGACTTCACCGACCTAAACAAGGCCTATCCCAAAGACAGCTTTCCCCTTCCCCAGATTGACCAGCTCGTCGATGCAACAATATGGC